GCATGTTAACAAGAAGCGGGCTATGGGGGGGCCCCGCCCCGGGCATGTGGCTGGGGGGGGCCGCCCCCGGGCGGGCAAGTGTCCCCGCCCCCTGGCGCCCGGTGGGCGAACGGCCACGCCCCCTGGCGCCCGACAACCTGAAAAGGTTGGGGACCACTGTTGTAGATACAGAATGAGGCACTGTTCAGATCTCTTCCATTTGTCTTCATACCTTTCCAGAGACTTCTGGCTCTGGAGGAGCTTTTGGCAGTTCCATTCATCCATCTGGTTATTGCCTGTAATCTTTATTTACTCTGGATACCAGGCGGCATTAACTACTCACACTAAGAATGGGCAATAATTTTTGACTGGGGGCCACTTCAGATATTTTTGAAGTGGCCCCAGGTGGGGCCTCAGGTGGAGGGAGTGGGGCCAGGACACTTCCGTGCTTCCCTGCCCACAGACCCTGATTGGAAGTCTTTGCCCCCTCCCCCCCAGAGAGGTGCCTGCACCCCTGGCTGTGGGAGAAGACTTCGCGCACTCTCCTGCCCCCAAGCCAATCAGAGCCCTGGGGTGGGAGAAGTGCACAAAGTTTCCTCCTGCCCTGCCCCCTTCCTGCAAAGAGAGTGCGGCACTTCTAAATGCTGCACGTTCCCTACAGGATGGGAGCAGTGCGGGAGGAGACTGTGCATGCTCCTCCTGCCCCCAAGCCCTGATTAGCTTGTGGGGGAGGGAGCACATGAAATCTCTCACTCCGTGCCCTCGGGCATGCAGCGCTTAGAGTCAGCCGCCAGGGTTAACGCTAAGCGCCATGCACGGCCCAGTCCCAAGGCCCTGATTGGTCTGGGGACATGGCAGGGCCTCCACAGGCCGGATCAATCCACTTAGTGGGCCGAATCCAGCCCGCAGATGCCCTTTTGCCCACTAGTCCCAAGGTGCTTGAAAAAGATCCTCTGTATTCAGTGACACATCAGCTGCCACTACAGAACAGAACATTGGTTTTGTCAGCTCCCACCCCACCCCTGTGAATATTTGTCTGGAACATTAAACTCAGTTAAAGGTACAGTTCTCATTACCGCAGTATTACTCTCCTCTCTGAACCAGCACTGACCCCAGGTTGCAGGTTGATCTTACGGGTGCTATGCACAAGCTGTGTGGGTGACTCAGAACGGGGGTGCTATAGATAAACTATACTATACAGGTCAGCCACTAGGAGGCAGTGTATGAGAAATACTTTAAATGAACCTCAGCCATCTCTGGCACAGTTTTAAAGGACTCTATGATGATCAGACCTGGTGTTTCTACTCAAGCTCTGCAGCCAGGCCATAGCTGGTGCAGAAATACACTACAAGCAGCAGGAGTCTTTGGGTATGTCTACACTACAGCGTTATTTTGAAATATCTAATTTCAAAAGAACACGTCTACACACAAAATGCATTACGAAATAGCTTTTTGCTATTTCAAAATAGCATGTCCACACTGATTGGACGCTGAATCACATTTAAGGCCAGCCAGAACTGGTTCTGATGGGGCATCAGGTCAGAAGTTACCTTGTGGCCAGGGCGGCCAGCAGGGCATCTTGGGAAGGGCAGGAGGACCTCTATTTTGAAATAAGCATCTACACAATGCTTATTTTGAAATAGCAATTTTGAAATTGGCGCTATTCCTCGTGGAAAGAGGTTTACCAATTTCAAAATAAGCCCTCCGCTATTTCAAATTAATTTCGAAATAGCAGTTGGCTTGTGTAGATGCTAGGAAAGTTATTTCAAAATAACGGCTGTTATTTCCAAATAACTTTGCTGTGTAGATATACCCTTAGTGTATTCTAGTTCATAAAATTCTTTCTGCAGTTCCACTTGGATTTTGTACCTGTTATTTTCTTTCAGAGAGTGAGACCTTTATAGGCAGCCTGTAGAGTGCGTTGGGATTGCTGGGATGGCGGCACTTCCAAATTGTGAAGGCTTTGCACATGATAGACAGAATGAAAAGGGGGCAGTTAAAGGTGTCAGCATCCATCGTAACATTTGTGTTTCAGGTGGAAGATACAATCAAATGATTTTAAGGAAAATTACAACCCAGGTACAACTCCAAAAGTGACATACCTGCTGTATGAAATGAAGTGGGGCAGAAGTAAAAAGTTCTGGAGGCAGTGGTGTAAAAGCAACACAGCCCAACATGCTGAAGTTGTATGCCTGGAACGTGATTTCAAGACGGCAGAGTTCAGGCCATCAGTGCGCTGCTCCATCACCTGGTTCCTGTCCTGGAGTCCCTGTGGGGAATGCTGCCACTGTATTGTGGAGTTCCTGAAGGCCCACCCCAGTGTGACTCTGAAAATTAGATTTGCAAGGGTCTTTAGACGTGAGGACGAATGCAACCAACAAGGCATCAGGAACTTGATGAAGAACGGAGTAGACATAGACATCATGAAACTGAAAGGTATCCTACCCACTCTTTGGCCCTGTCTAGGCTAGGACCAAAGGCATGATGCTAGAGCATGTTAGCTGATGGCTGCTAATGCATTTGAAAAGCCTAGTGCAGGTAAGACAAGCCTTTAGCATGCACTAATCTGGTCCAGCTGAAGTTTAGGGGGGAACGGAGGTGTTAGCTTGAACAGTTTTCCACGTGTTAAAGTCTAAATTGTTTGGCCACACTAGATATTTAGACCAAGTCACTAAGCACATGTTAGCTACGCCATTCCATCGTCACAACTTTTATCCCAGTCTAGACAAGGCCTTTGTTACAGCTGGGGACTGGATGGCAAGGGATGTCAGAGACTATCATGTGCATCCTCTAATTTAGAGGGTGCCATTTCCAATCCAGTTCCAGGCCAGGCAAGCTGGCTGGTTGCAGGAACTGGGGAATGGAAACATGGAACAGTCAGTTTATAGGCCTGTTCAATTCCTGAGCTGTAGTGTCCAAAAGTTCAGGTCAGCAAAGCCAGTCAGAAGCTGCCACTTGTTAACAGGCCTGAAAACCAACCAGTCACAACCGCTGATGAGCTCCCCACATTAGCAGCTATAGCCACTTTGTGGGAAATGAGTTGTTGGTTGGGTATGGACAGTCCAAGCACCCAGTGTCACACCCAGCCCCTTGCTGGCAATCCCTGTGAAGAGGCCAAAGCTTGGCAGGAGTGCAGAGAGTCTCTTCATCTGTGCCCCAAATGCCACGTGTAGTGTTCAGTGCCACGCTGACAGCATCCTCGCACCCCTGCACCTCTTTGCCATGTTCCCAGGCTGCTTCAAACTGTGGCACAGGAGGGGGCTGCAAGAAAAGTGACCAAGGCCAGTGTTCTTGATACATGGTCTGCGTCTTTCCTATGGCAGGGTGAGGTGTGCAATGTCAGAGTGGGAAATGGCAAATAATGGTCCCTCTAATTTTTTTCCATCCATGTGCAGATGGAAATGTTGTTAGGTGCATGTGTGGATGTGCACCACCAATAGAAACACATGTTGCCAGCTGTGGATGCTCTGCTGATTGGCTGGATAGCATTTGAATCTCTCATGGGTGGCTATCCAAGTGCTCAGCTTACAGGGAACACTGCAGTATAAGCCCCCAAACAACCCCCTTCCTGCAGCAGGAGGGCTTCTTGGCCAAACTGATAGCCAGGAGTGGGGAGATATTGAGAGGTGCTTCCCTCTGCCTGCATTCCTTTCCTCCCTGAACCAAGCCCCAAGAGCAGCTATCACCCCAGCTCCCTCTATCAGCTCCACAGGGCAGCGGGGCCACATGTGCACAGAGGAGCAACCTCTTTCTAAAGCCGGGCCCCTTCCTTCTACATCCTCTTTGGCTCCAGCAAACAATCCCAAGCACTTCCAGCCCCTCCCCATTTCCTCCCCATTTGATACGTGGCAGAATGATGGAGCTGTGAGTGGAGCAACCCAGAGCGGGCCTTTCCCGGGACGTAACTGGTATTGTCTCAGGCTGATGATGAATGAGGGGCTTGCATAGTTCTTTGCTGAAACCATCCTTTCCATCAGCCTGAATGCAGAGCCCTCGTGTGTTGATCCCCCTGCAGATGCATGCTGGGGGGCCTTTCAGGAGATATGAGCGCAGAAGATTACAATGAAGAAAATAGACAGTGGCCTAGGCCTTCTGGTCAACACTGAGTTCAGATTTTACCTCAATCTTCACTGACCCCTTACTGAGCAGGAAGGGACCTTGAACATGTCGCTCACCAGGACTGACAGAATATGCATTTTTTCAGATTACAGATACTGCTGGAGAATATTTGTTGCACATCAAAATAGGAAGGAAGGTAACTTCTGGCCCTGGTTTCACCAGATCGTGTTCTATGGTCTAGCTCACCAGCGTGACCGTTGGGTGAGTAGATATTTGGCGAGAATGTTGGATCCAAGAACAATCTTACATCATAGGAGAGTTAGGTTTCTAATGGCCCAGCTGTGGCATCTCCATTGAGGCGGTGGCTATGCTCAGAGCTTATGTTGTGCCACTGTAGCACTGCTCGGGTGGGTGCTCTAAGTCCAGGGGAGAGAGCTCTCCTGTAGCTGTGGCAATGGGAAAAGTTCGCCTGCTAACAGCGCTGGCCACACCGGCCCTGAGGAGGTGGCCTAGTCACGCCCCTGGGAGACATCAAGAATCCTGGTGCAGCTGTAGTGTGCACATAGCCTGTTAGCAGCAGTAGTACCAGGCAGGGCTCCAGGCAGGATCAGGGCCTCCAGTGTTTGAAGTCAGTTCAGGAAGTGCAGTCCAGCGGGACTGGAATGTCACAGCGTGCAGGGGCAGCCCAGAGAATGAATTGGGCTTGCACCGTGCTCTAGGGAGCGGTAAATAATATCACCCTTTTCATGGAACAACTTCTTGCCTCACGTGCCCAGCCTGCTACCCTGTCCAGTCACCTTGGCTCTCACACCTTGCCCCTGCTCTCTCTCCACTCACTTGCTGGCAGCAAGAAGTATCAGGAGGGAGCTTATGTCGTATAGCTGAAGACATAGCTTGCACAGGGGAGCATGGACTGTAACAGTCTACACCAATTTACAGCCTCTGTGGCTGTGGCACAAGGTCTGTACATCACCAAAGAGATTAGCAGTCCCTGATCATTCCATAGTCTCAGGAAACCGCACCCCATCACTTCAGTTAAAGTCCCCCCTACAGCATTGCAAGTAAGTTTGTTCTCTTATTATTTTGTTCACTTATTTGCTCCTGGTGGCATCCCCAAGGTTGCAGGCACTGCACAAAATGTAATAAGATAGGGGTCTTATCCCACAGACATGCACAAGACAAGACAAGCAAGCCAGTGTAAGGTAGGAAAGGGAAGTACAGTGTAAAAGAGGTCAAAGTGCTGATTGATCATGTCCAAGGAATACAGTAGTTGAGAACTCAACTGTGGGTAGTATTTTAGAGTTTCCTTTGAGCAATACAAGTAATATAATCTTGATTTACACCTGCATTACTCTACTGACTTCAGGTGAACTACTACACTGATTTACAGCAATAGAATCTGGCCCATATTGAATTCCACTCAGGTACTTTCTTGTAGGCATGTAATAATATGCGTGTGTTTGAGGGTATGTCTACACTACAGTGCTATTTTGAACAAACTTAATTCAAAATAGTTAATTCGAATTAAGCTAATTCAAAATAGCACATCTACACACAAAAACCATTTCGAAATAGCATTTTGCTATTTCGAAATAGCAGTCCACACTGAGTTGACCCTGAACCGAAGTTAAGGCTGGCCAGAACCAGTGCCGGCAGAGCATCAGGTTAGGACTTAGTGTGTGAGAGCATCTAGACTGCACGTTGAACTTTCGAAAAAGCGGCTTGCTTTTTCGAAATAAAGCATCCGGTGAGTCTGGATGCTCTCTTTCGAAGAAGCCCTATTTACATTCAAGAACGCCTTCTTTCGAAAGAGGAACTTTCGAAAGAAGGCGTTCTTCCTCGTAAATTGAGGTTTACCGCCATCGAAAGAAAAGCCGCGTTCTTTCGATTTAATTTCGAAAGAACGCGGCTGCAGTCTAGACGCAGGTGAGGTTTTTTCGAAAAAAGGCTACTTTTTTCGAAAAAACCCCTGAGTCTGGACACAGCCTGAGAGAGAGAGAAAGAGAGAGAGATGCCTTTCTGCTCTCCATTCCTATTTGTTTCCTGGTGCCTGTTCCCTGAGCTCTTTGTTCCAGTTCTTGTGTGTTTGCAAGCATGTGTGCATAGTGTTGGGTGTGTGTAGTTACTCAGCCATTTGGACTGTTGTTATGCTCTGCTGGTTTAGCCACGTCATGGTTATTACAGAAAGAAAAGTCAGAACTATGTAGCACGATTGATTTTGGTTGGAGTGTGTCCTGCACTTTGGTTTCTTTGTGTTTTGGGGTGCATCAAAGTTCAATGAGGAATTGAGGGTGCTCAGGAGCCCTCAGTATGCAAAGAAGACAGTGACATTGTGTGGAACAGCTCAGGAAGGGTGTTTCAGGCAGTATGGAAGAAGGCTCAGCATCTAAGATAGCATCATTGTAGCATCTTCATATAATTCAAGACACATATTTATGAGCAATCCCAAATGTTTCCAAGGGAAGTCCCCCTCCCTCAGTCTTCTCTTCCAATGATTTATTACAGTCTGTATGGTCACTTATGAATGTGGCACTAGAAATGGCTGTCCTCTGTGTGGCTGTGTCTAGACTTCATCCCTTTTCCGTAAAAGGGATGCAGATGAGGCAAGTCGGAATTGCAAATGAAGCGGGGATTTAAATCCCCCCCGCTTCATTTGCATAAACATGGCTGCCGCTTTTTTCCGGCTCGGAGCTTTGCCAGAAAAAAGCACCAGTCTAGATGGGGATCTTTTGGAAAATAAAGCCTTTTCCGAAAGATCCCTTATTCGTCTTAAAAAAAGGAATAAGGGATCTTTCGGAAAAGGCTTTATTTTCCGAAAGATCCCGTCTAGACTGGCGCTTTTCTCCGGCAAAGCCCCGAGCCGGAAAAAGCGGCAGCCATGTTTATGCAAATGAAGTGGGGGGGATTTAAATCCCCGCTTCATTTGCAATTGCGATGTGTCTAATTTGCATCCCTTTTACGGAAAAGGGATGCAGTCTAGACACAGCCATGATGTGTGTGGAGAAAGTAAATATTAAGATGTGTTTTTTATTCCTCATTACACGACAAATTGGGGGTCATGAAATGGGCAGCAGATTTAAACAAAAGGAAGTGTTTCTTCACACAATACATGGTCAACCTATGGAGCTCTTTGTCAGAGGATGTTGTGAAGGCCAAGACAGTAACAGATTTCAAAAAAGGGCTGGATAAATTCATGGAGGTTAGGTCCATCAATGGCTATTAGCCAGAAGGTGTAGGGATCATGTCCCTAGTCTCTGTTTGTCAGAAGCTGGGAATGCATGACAGGGGAGGGATAACTTGATGATTGCCTGTTCTGTTCACTCCTTTTGGGGCACCTGGCATTGAGTATTGTTGGAAGACACTTGATCTCTCCAGTGCGGTTCTTATCTTATCTTATCTATGGCTATGTCTAGACTGCAGGCGGATCTTTCGAAAGAGCAATCCGCTTTTTCGAAAGAGAGCACCCAGCGAGTCTGGATGCTCTCTTTCGAGGAAGCCCTATTTACATTGAAGAACGCCTTCTTTCGAAAGAGAAACTTTCGAAAGAAGGCGTTCTTCCTCGTAAATTGAGGTTTACCGCCATCGAAAGAAAAGCCGCGTTCTTTCGAAATAATTTCGAAAGAACACGGCTTGAGTCTGGACGCAGGGGAAGTTTTTTCGGGAAAAGGCTACTTTTCCCGAAAAAACCCCTAAGTCTGGACACAGCCTATAAGCTTTTTTCTAGCCCTGATCAGAATAATAGAACTGTGTCCCTCCCAAGTTTGTTTACTGGAAATGCTCAGCATTCAGGCTCTTCAGAAGTGGAGTTTGATACAGGTAACTGAGTGGATTTGAGCTATCAAATGACTTACCTGCTTATTTCTTTGCTCTTTGGGGTCTGCATTGCGGGGATGTACAGACTAGGAACATGAACTGAGTTAATCAAGCTTTGTGTGTGGAGACAAACAGCACCTCTTCCATTAACCTGTCTGCTGTGTAAACTGCTCTTAGTCCCTTTTCCTTTAAGGTTCAGATCCTGCAACTAATTCAGTGTCCCTGCAGGGGTCCCTCTGTGCCCTCTCTTGGCAGTCTGTAAAGGGTGTTTTGCAATTGGGTTAGTTCAGTCATATTAGCTTAGCATGATTGACAAGCACGACTGACAACTGCAGGCTAACACATCTAATGCTATATTAATTGACTCTGGGGTAGCCTGGGGAATACATCTTCACCTTGCTGGGGCTTTCTAGTCATTTTAAGGTAACTCCATCAAGCTAGCATGGCTGAAAAACACAATTACTGCCCTTCATAACAGGGCCATGGATGTCCGTAGGTCTCTGAGCATTAGCCTAAATTCACTAGGGCAGATCCATTTGCAGGTTTAGGACCTAAGGACAGGAGACTCAAAACTTACCTGCCCTAATAACTGTTTCCTGCAAGATGGTCAAATAACAATGACTCTCTTGGTGCTCTGTTATTCTTGCTCTGTTTGCCTTCAGTAAGGGTACACTACACCCAAACTTTTATTTTGAAATAGGCTATTTCAAATTTTGGAGCATCTACACAGTGCCAAATTTCAAAATAGAGCACTATTTCAAGCCACCCCTTAATCCTCATGCAACGAGGTTTACAGGGATGGCAAAATAGCACGTCCATATTTTAAAAAATATTTTGAAATAATGGGCATGTTCCTTGGACATGGGGTAGCTATTTTGGGATACCCTAGGAGACCAGGGTTTGGTTCCTAGCATAGCCAGACTTGTAGGTAACTTTGGACAAGTCTCCTCATCCTTTGTGTGACACAGCTCTGTAAAATGGGGCTAGTGCTCCCTCGCAGGGCCGGCCCAAGCCATTTTGGCACCCTGGCCCCCAGGCGCACGACGCCGCCCCCAGGGCACACAGCCCCACCTCTGGGCGCACAGCGCATGCCTCCGGGTGCATGACGCATGCACAGACCCGCCCCCAGGGTGCGTAGGTGGACTCACGGCGCATGTGCTACCCAGTCGACCCAGCCACTGCTGATGGTGCGCAGCCCTGGGCCACCCAGGGTGGGCTGCACCTGGCCATGCAGGGCCCTGCGGATGGTGCCCTGGGCAGCTACCTAGCTAGCCCACCCCTTAGTCTGGCCCTGCTCCCTCGCATCCAGGAGTGTTCCAGGAGTAAAACCTCATTAATGACTTTGATGCTCTAGGAATAGTTTTTAATGGGGGAGAGGTTATGCACCTAGACAAATAAAAACAACATATAGGGTGTGTCTAGACTAGAGGGTGTTTGTTTGTTTTTCCAAAAAAAGTGACCTTTTTTTGAAAAAACTTCCCCTGAGTCTAGACTGCTGCTGTGTTATTTCGAAAGTAAATTGAAAACATGCAGCAGTTTTTTTGACAGTGGAAAACCTAGTTTTATGAGGAAGAATGCCTTTTTTTGAAAGTGCTCTTTTGAAAAAAGGCACTATGTAATGCAAACTGTGTTTTTTCGAAAGAGAGCATTCAGATTGCCTGGGTACTCTCTTTCGAAAAAGTGGCTTGTTTTTTCGAAAGTACTGGTTGTAGTCTAGATGCTCTTTTTTGAAAGAGGCTTTTTCAAAAGAGGCTAGAAGTAGCCATAGAAGATTAGACTAAGAGTAAGTACAGGGGACTTTGTAATTGACTTGTTTAATTTCTGATCAAAGAACAGGACCTTCCATTTCACTCCCAGCTACCTCTATGTTTATTTAGCTTGTATGATAGGTTCGTGGTGGCTCTTGAACAGAGGATGTTAGGGCTCACAAACCCAGATTTGCTAATTCTGCCTGAAAGTGAATTCCACGGAGAGAAACGCAGTGTCTGTTCTCTAAACCGACCAGTTAATTTAACATATCATGGTGGTTCAACAGTCTCACCTTGCTTTTGCCTGAGACTTGCTCGTGCCTGGTATAAAATTAGAATATATAGAGTGAAAGTCATTGGACAGTTTTAAAAAAGCTTATTATGCACATATGCACGCACATACACATATGTAAACATGTTTGTGTAGAGAGAGAGAGTGTGGCACCTTAGGAAACGTCTAGACAGCGACACTATTTTGGGATACATCCTGGTATCCCAAAATAGCATTTTTTCACATCTAAACAGCACTCAAGTTATTTCAAATGCAATCGAAATAATGGGCTTGCTATTGCATCATCTCGGTAAACCTCGTTCCATGAGGATTAAGGGACTTGTCGGAATAGTGCTCTAGTTTGAAATTTGGTGCTGGATAGACAGTGCCAAATTCTGAAATAGACTATCTTGAAATAAGCTATGCAATTTGCATAGCTCAAATTGTGTAGCTTATTTCAAACTAGCATCTCTGTGTAGATGCACTCTTATGAGACTAACAAAAATATATATAGGATTATGAGCTATCATGGGCAAAATCCACTTCTTCAAATGAGCTGGAGTGGAACACACACAAACACACACACACACACACACACATTCTCTAGACAACTCTAAGGACTCTAAGGACTAAGTAAGAACTTCAGGCTTTGCCCCAAGTGTACAGCTAACAAGCAAGTGTGAATAATAAATGTTTATATATTCTCCTCCTCCCCATACAACCCTATTGTCCTCCATGGAGTGTAAATTGGGACCATGAAGTTTTGCCTTCAATGGAGCTACTGACATGCTTAAGGTTAAGCACATGCTTAGATGCTTTGCTGGGTCCTAGGTAAATGTGCAAAATATGAGGTGATATCCTGCTTTCTTTGGAGCAGTGGCGTAGCTAGAAGGGCCCCACCCAGGCCCCCAACTTTGGGTGGGAGGGCAAGAATGGGGCGAGGAAAGGAAGAGGATAGGAGGTTTCATGGGGAGGGGGAGGAACTCTGGCTCCACTCCCTGGCTGGAGCACTGGAGTAAAGTGGGGTAAGCCCCATAGGGGTAGGCCTGGCTGCAAAGTAGGTGGGCCAAGGACTACTCAAGCCCACCTGTAGCTATACCTCGGCCTTGGAGAAAACTGAGAGTTTTGCTTGCCTTGAAACCACCCCGTGGCCAGTCTGTTTCCATAGCTGAGTTATAATGCACAGTAAGCCTAACCTCTGATCTCCCTTATACTCTCACTCAGCTGAGGTCTCTTCCTGCTGGACTGGGTTAAAAGTGATTTCTCATGAAAGGTACTTTATTGTAAACCTCCGAGCAATGCTAAAAGGAAAACACAGGGGCTTTCGGCCTTTAGTTTTTAACCCCCAGCTTTCTTCTTTCTCCCCAAGGACTCCCTTTGTTGTCAGCAAGACATCAGTGAGCATCATCAGCACCGCCAGTCTCGTCCTGTGAGACAACTAGTGCCAAATGCTATTACAAGAGTATGATGCAGCAGCTAGTGACACAGCCTTTACGTTAGAATCTCCAGCCCCACACCGACATCTATCGACCTCCTCACCTGAAGCACCAGCCAGTCACCACTGCCAGACCAACAGGGCTGCAACAGGAGCCACTCAGAAACAGCCAGCAAGAAGTTCTGAAATATTATTATTAACAGGCCCTTGAGTCTCCATATGCAATACATGGGCAGGGGGAGAAGTGTGTGTGTATGTGGAGGGGAGGGGAGTTGGGAAATCAGTTCTTCTCACCAGCCTGGCATGCCCTTTGAGCAGGAGCTAGAGGAGGAGGTCCCTTTGTGTGTGCAATTGGAGACGTCTCTGTGCCTTCCCCGTTAGGCTATGTCTACACTCTCAGTTTTTGCCAGAAAAGACAATGCAAGTGAAGCGCTGATTAGCATATTGTCACACTTTATTTGCGTAATCTATTCCGAGCCGTTTTTGCGCAAGGGGTTTTTGCACAAAATCAAGCAGTGTGGATGTTTCCTTTTTGTGCAAGATCCTTAGCCCTCTTCCAGATAGGGATAAGGATCTTGCACAAAAAGGGAACATCCACACTGCTTGTTTTTGTGCCATAAACACTTACACAAAAATGGCTTGGATTATGCAAATGAAGAGTGACAATATGCTAATCAGTGCTTCATTTGCATTTCTTTTTCCGACAAAAGCCATAGTGTATACAAAGCCTTAGTGAACTGGACAATCCTACAGTATTTATCTTTGTAGTGTTATTGCAGCCATGTTGGTCCCAGGATATGATTGAGATAAGGTGGGCAAGGTCTTTTGTTGGACCAACTTCCGTTGGTAGAAAGGGACAAGCTTTCAGGCTACAAAGAACTCTGTGACCTGAAGTAGAGGTCTCTGTCGCTTAGAAGCTTGTCTCTCTCCCCCACAGAAATTCGTTCAATAAATGATTCTACCTCACCCATCATGTCTCAATCATATTTATTGCACCTTGAGAAATTACAGTTACAAACTCAAAGCAACAAACTGTTTGCATCAGTATTAGACAAACAGATAATTTTTATATGGATTTGTATTTTGGAGAGAATTTTTCCTGCTATTTTAGTACTTGAGCTTATTTTTCTATCACTGTATTTCTTGGCTTTATTTTCTGTATTAGTTCTGACCATTAAAAGACAACAGAATGAAACAGAAAATGTTCCTTCACAGGAAGCACCGCTTTTAGTGTTTAGGTTTTACTGAGGCAACAATAGTGTGTCACTTATAGGCTTGCCAGATGGTTTAACCAAAAATACTGAACACACACCCCAAAAAACCAACAACACTATTGAGAAAAAAAGAGGGGAGACCAAAAAACCCCCAAAATACAAAAAAAGAGCCCCTTTAAAGCTTTTGGGGCGTTTTTTTTGCCAGCGGTCATTTTGTTTTCTTACTCTATGCCGGAAGAGAGCTCCCCTGTGGAACCAGGTAAGTGGGGAGGAGGGAGGGCTCAGGAGGGTTGAGGGGGGGGGTCCAGGAATGTCCCAGGGGCTGGGTAGGGGGGAGTCTAGGGGCTGGGCCTGGTTGCTGAGTGTGGTAGGGTTGCCAGGTGTCTGGTATTTTCGCCTCTTCGCCTGGAAAAAATCAGAAAATACCGGACATTTTAGGTGTTTAGGACATTTTTACTGGACAGGAGGTAAAAATACCAGACTGTCTGGGTCAATACCAGATATCTGACAACCCTAGTCACTTGCCTCCATCCCAATGAAAGCTTGTCCAACATAGGCCTGGTTTGCCCCTGCAGAAGGCTCCCAGCAAACAATGTAAGAATTGTAGTTCCGTCAGGGTTATGTCAGTCTCGCTTTTCCAGCTGGTGGCACAGAAAGGAATGGTGCCAGAAGGGAAGCCAAGTTCCTAGCCACCTCCTTCCAGCCACTCGCAACAGGAAGGGAAAGTACAGGAGTGCTGGCTGTTGTGAGAGCTTCCAGCTTCTTGCTGTTGGCAATGGGGAAAGACTACTGACTAGAGGTGATGGATGCTCTACATGATTCCCAGCCATTCTGGGCAGGGGATACTGTCTGGCATTGCCCATTGTGTAATATAGAAAAATTACTGGGTGTACAAGAAGAAGCAGGAAAATACCAAACTTTGATTGAAAAATGAGTGCGGGTTGCCAGTGGCTATTCCCCTTTCTCTTCTTCTTCCCCAGTGACTTATAGTTGTGGCATCCCTTGGGCTGTGTAGGGTAGGAAGCAACCCTAAGGTTTAAGAATACAGCCTTTTTCTGAAGCCATATTGGAAGGCCTACTATAGGCAGCCCTATTGGAAGATTGAAAGAGCAGCAGCCATTACCTGTAAAGCAGGAAGTCACATACTCACATTCCATCTAAATTGCATTACAATAGTGTCACACCAGGCTGTTCAGAAGACTCTGTCCTAATGGCACCTACTGTCACCAGATACATGAACAGATCTCAAGATAGGAAAAGAAAACTTACTTTGAAAGCATCTCTTCTGGCAAGAAACTCCTTACCAATAGTTGGGGTTGTGGAATCCTCAGCCTATGATTATGGTCCTTGCTTTCCTTTTTGCCTGTGATATCTCTGTCTGGTTTTTAACCGTTTCTGTCTGCTGTAATTTTGGTAGCTGTAAGTCAACTAAGGTGGTGGGGTATGATTGGTTAGGTAATTCTGTGACAGTATGTTATGATTAGTTAGTAAAATTACACTAAAATAATTGGTTAAGGTATAGCTAAGCAGAACTCAAGTTTCACTATATAAACTGGGGTCCAAGAAGGAGACCAGCAGGAAAGGAAGAAAGGAGAAAGAAGGAACAGAAAGAATAAGAAGGAAAGAATAAGGAAGAGAGGCAAACATGGTAGGAGACTGGATTGGCTTATGGGGGAAATCCTTGGTGAATTTAAGCACAAAAAGGAAGCTTACAAAAAGTGGAAACTTGGACAAATGACCAGGGAGAGGTTTAAATGTATAGACCAAGAATGCTAGGGGGTTATCAGGAAGGTGAAAGTGCAAATGGAATTGCGACTGGCTAAGGATGTGAAGGATAACAAGAAAGGTTTCTACAGGCATGTTAACAAGAAGAAGGTGATCCCAGAGGGTATGCGGCCCCTAGTGGATGAAGGAGGTAACCTAGTGACAGATGATGTGGGGAAAGCTGAAGTATTCAATGCTTCCTTTGCCTCTGTATTCACGGACAAGGTGGGCTCTTGGACTAATGCGCTAAGTGGGGGGATGAAGATGGACAGCCCTTGGTGGGTAAAGAACAGGTTAGGAACTATTTAGAAAAGCTAAACGTACACAAATCCATGGGTCTGGACTTAATGCATCCGAGGGTACTGAGGGAGTTGGCAAATGTCATTGAGGAGCCTTTGGCCATTATCTTTGAAAAGTCGTGGAGATCGGGAGAAATCCCGGATGACGGGAAAAAGGCAAATGTAGTGCCCATCTTCAAAAAAGGGAAGAAGGACAATTCAGGGAACTATAGGCCGGTCAATCTTACCTCAGTTCCTGGAAAAATCATGGAAGGGATCCTTAAGGAATCCATTTTGAGGCACTTGGAAGAGAGGAAAGTGATTAGGAATAGTCAGCATGGATTCACAAAAGGAAAATCGTGCCTGACCAATCTGATTAGCTTCTATGATGAGGTAACTGGCTCTGTGGACGTGGGAAAGTCAGTGGATGTGATATACCTTGACTTTAGCAAGGCTTTTGATACGGTCTCCCACAATATTCTTGCCAGCAAGTTAAGGGAATGTGGATTGGATAAATGGACAGTAAGACGGATAGAAAGCTGGCTAGAAGGCCGGTCCCAGCGGGTAGTGATCAACGGATCGATGTCAGGATGGCGGGCGGGTTCTAGCGGAGGGCCCCAAGGTTCGGTTCTAGAACAGGTTTTGTTCAATATCTTTATTAATGATCTGGATGAGGGGATGATTGCACCCTCAGCAAGTTTGCGGATGACACTAAGCAAGGGGGAGAGGTAGATACGCTTGAGGGCAGAGATAGGGTCCAGAGTGACTTAGACAAATTGGAGGACTGGACCACAAGAAATCTGATGAGGTTCAACAAGGACAAGTGCAGTGTCCCAAGGATTGTTACAGGCTGGGGACCTACTGACTAAGCAGCAGTTCTGCAGAAAAGGACCTGCAGATTACAGTGCGTGAGAAGCTGAATATGAGTCAACAGTGTGTCCTTGTAGCCAATAAGGCTAATGGCATATTAAGGTGCATTAGGAAGAGCATTGCCAGCAGATCCAGAGAAGTGATTATTCCCCCTTATTCGGCTCTGGTGAGGCCACATCTGGAGTATGGCATCCAGTTCTGGGCCCCCCACTATAGAAAGGATATGGACACATTGGAGAGGGGCCAGCAGAGGGCAACCAAAATGTTTAGGGGGCTGGAGCACATGACCTATGAGGAGAAGCTGAGGGATTTGGGCTTATTTAGTCTGCAGAAGAGAAGAGCGAGGGGAGTTTGATAGCAGCCTTTAACTCCCTGAAGGAGCGGGGGGGATTCTAAAGAGGATGGACAGAAGCTGTTCTCAGTGGTGACAGATGGCAGAACAAGGAGCAATGGTCTCAAGTTGCAGTGGGGAAGGTCTGCACAGCAGGGCTAAAGCCAAAATCAGCTACACAACTTGAGCTACGCTATTGATGTAGCTTGACAAAGCCATGGCTGAGTTGATTTAGTTGGGATTGGTCCTGCCTAGAGCAGGGGGCTGGACTTGATGACTTCCTGAGGTCTCTTCCAGCTCTATGGTTCTATGATTCTATGATTCTAACTCACCTCCAAGACACAGCCTAAGATCAGAGCTGCCAAGAATTCACTGCTGGCCCATGATGTGTAGCAACCAGAACCCAGATGAGATTGACCTTGCCTAGCCAGCAAGGGAAATTCACCTGCCTTGCTCATGATTGTTGAGCATGGCACTGTGTGCTTAGCATGTGTATTCTGCTTGCCTGGTCATTGTTAATAAATAGAAAGTAAGGAGTGTGGGGGAGTGACAGAGAATTTGTGCGTGTAATAAGGTTTCCATACTGTAGACCAAGGTTGATAACATAACAAACTTTGACCAAATGACCCTGAACACCAGCAAACCCCCAGGCAGGAAGGGAGGGCAAACAGCACCCAGGCCTCTGGACTATCTAGAGCCAGCTAACGACTGATGTAGAATAGGTGGGCAAGACTCCCCTCCTAGTGAAATAAATCACTGCTCTCCTCTCTCAGGGAATTAAGCCTCCCTACAGGGTTTCTGGAGGATTGCTCCCCAATGCACAAGTCATGAAGGCACCAAGTCTGGAAGGCTTGTGCTCTGTGCACAGGAGGGAAGGTGGGAGCTTGCGAACGGATCTGGTTCCTGGATGCCCTCACTGAAAAGGAGGCAAAGAAAGAGAGAAGGCTGTATAGCTCTCTGTCTGTGTAAATAAAGGCTTCCAAGACCCTTCCCTGCCATTCAGCTTTTGGGAAAACTCCCCTTCCTGCAGGACAGCCAAAGAGGACAGAAATTGAGACAACTTCTCAGGTCACCAATCTG